TTTTTGAAAAATCGTTTCACGTGTTTCAGCGTTTTTTTTTAATGTTGGAAGTTGTCGAAATATTTGACCGTCCCGGTACATAATTGACACCCTGTATAAGTTCAGAACAAAACAGCGTGGAGATTTCCTTGCACACTCAGCTACTCAGATCGAGTAACAGCTCTGATGTAAGTTTATATCCATTCAATTTGGTACCATGTCAAAGATGAAATGTAAAATTATATATCCTAAGAAGGATTGTACCTTATTATAGATAAACTGGTTATTCAATAATAAGATAAAATTACAAAAAACTCACCTGCAGGTAAGAATGCAAGAAAAACACCAAATATAACAATAATTGATCGTATTAAATTACTAAATGTAAAATTAAATTATGAAGATGTTGTCGTTATGAAATTCAGAATCGTTATAAGATAACAAACATGATATGCATAATGTCACAATATTATAAACAAAGCAGGGGGGGGGGGAACAAAAGTCTAACTTACATGTAAAACATCAGTATCGTATTGAAAACAAGTTATAACAGTAAATGTATTACTAAGGTAAATGTATTACTTATTTTGATTTTGTTATATTCACACGAAAATAAAGTTTTTCTGTGCATCCGAACAGCTGATGTAGACTTTGATAGGTTTTTTTATTATATTTTATTGAATTATAAATTATCTATAATATAAAATTAATATTTGAAAATATTTTTAGGATGCAGCTTATGTAATATGCCTTGATACAGTTTCCGCTAGCAATAATTTATATGTACATGTATCGAAACCACCTAAGGAGAATTCATCGGGTGGTTTGTTTTACAAAGAACTTAAAACCGTTTCGCAATCATTTAACACTATCACTGTTGATGGCGTGCATAAAAAGATAAATCTTGCAGAAGAGACATTAGCTTGGGAACACGAAAGATACAGCATTCGAAGATTGCCAGCTGCTACTTTATCTACATTAAAAAGTCACGAAGATTCAACTCGAACTACTATATTAGATGTCTCTAAAGAAGGACAAGTAGACAGATTATATAAGCATACCCAAATTGTATCGGAAGCATTGGCGCGTCATATATATAACTTGAGTTCTAGTCAAATATTTGCTGGTCCATTGGTACGTTCATTACTATAACTTTTTACGTTCTTGGCCGTATTGTCTATGTTAAATATAAGAAAATAAAATATTGGAATATTTAAAAAATGTTAGAGTATACTAAAAAATAATTTTGTAATTCTAATTTGTCACACATGCGCGCACACACACACACATTTAACAATTAAGTACTGTTGAATATTATTTATGCAACAACGTATGCTTCTAAATACAATAATTGATCTAACTTTCTTTACAGGATGTATCAAAAGAATCACTCTCTTTATGGTTTAATTACTTTGCTTCTCAACCAAGAGCAGCATCATTATTAACAGATAAAAACAATTTACTAGTTGGTACTTTGAAAGAAGCAATGGCGAGATATTTAGGGGATATGAAAGTTACTTTTCACACTCCCGATAAACAAGATCCAGAATTTGTGTTTTATGATGTTACAAAAGCAACTCTGAATGTATATAGGTAAAATATATTTTTTATATACATATTGTTATATACCTGGTATTTTTTATATACATATTTATTCATAATACAATTTACGATACTGATTATGTAATATTAGGTGTTAACCTTAATTCCTGCCGTTTTTCGTCTCCAAAATTGATTTGTTTCGAAAGGGAATACCTTAATCAAAGTATTATTAATAAAGTATTATTAATTAGTAATAAAGTAGAAAATGGAGGAAATTACTTTGATTAAGGTATTCATTCATCTTCCCTTCGAAACAAATCAATTTTGGAGACGAAAAACGGCAGGAATTAAGTTTAACACCTAATATGTAATCGATTTTTATTTTATTTGCAGTGTGAAACCGGCTGTGTTTGATCTCTTTCTTACTATCGGCATAAGTTTGTACTTGGGAATATTGTACATAATTGTGCATAATTTTCCACATGCTTATGCTCTGGCAACGCGATTTTCAGCAAAGAGCAAGACGACGTGAACCTTATTTTGTATTTATAAACAAAGAAACCTGAGCCTTTTTTGAATATCAATGTCCAGTAATGTTGAATAATCGATTTATATTGTAAGAAAGTTGACTAGTTCTTAAATAATTTCCTCTAAAGTACTCCAAATCTATTATATATATATACTTATGCGTATTTATAAGTATTTGCTAGGGGAAAGTTAAATTCAAGTATATATTTATTTGTATGTGTATATATTTATTTCATCAATTTTTAATTATAAAATAACTATAGAGATTACGCGTATTTATAATTTTTGACTATAAACACGTGGACTACTAGTCCCTCATTTTTGCTATAGCAAATGCATACTCTCAGTATCGCCGAACTGAAGTTGGCTGAAAATTGTTAGGCTCCGCCCCGAACAGTAAAGACCGGCAAGTTCAAATGCCAAAGTTGTCATACTTTTTGTAGTAAGCACCGTTATTGACCGTTCTTCTTCTTCCGTTTTTCTTTTTATTTGGTTTTCCGACTCGAGTACAGAATCACAGTACCATGCAAATTAATGGATTTTAAAATCCTTTGAATAGTCTCCTCGGGGAGCCGAGACCTTTACTGATCGTAGCGCATCGTAAACGCGCATATAATACAGTCAAAGTTCCCCACTTCCGTAGAAAATTACTGTCCGGGACGGAGCCTAATCTTCCAGCTTGGCGACACGTCTGAAGTTGGCTACTGGCAGTCCATGTTTATAATCAAAGTTTATAATGCTCAATAGCATGTCGCTGTCCTTTATTAACTACTTCCAGCAATAACAAAATTTAGAACACGGAGAAAAATTAGATTTTCTGATAATTAGGTACTCTCTAATGCCCATTTCCATCAATGTAGATTAACTTTAATCTTGGTTCAACTTACTCTTCGTCTTTTTCTAATCTTTAGAACTAGAAAAAGACATAGAGTAAGTTGAACCGAGATTAAAGTTGATCTGCGTTGGTGGAAATGGGCCTAAGTGATGTGAAAAGTGATAAAGACTGTAAGTTATAAACGATCAAATAGTAAAATATTAGACTACAAGTGAGAATGTAAAAATTGGAAAATTTGTTATGTGGAAACACATAAATAGCTATAAAATCTAATGTAACATATCTAATAACACTTTAAGTCTGCATTTATCAAAGATATGATAATAACCATTGATTTTAACGTTGTAGAACATGAACTAGAAATAAACTCAATTTTTTGTTTTAATGATTGAATGAAATTTTCTGATCTCATGTATTTAATTTATTGTTGCATGTATAAAAACATATTTATAGAAAAAGGGAATATAGGAAAAACATAACTTTATGGAAGATAGATATATGTATACTATATAATATATAAAAATATATACACATATATGTAAGTACAATCAAGAAGAGGAGAAAGTATTTCAACTTCAATTTCAATTAACTTTAATTTTAATGGAATGTTGGAGAGGGGAATGAGATGTGTAAAAATTTTCTTTATATTTTTAGAATTCATACAAAGTTTACTTTTTGGTTGATCGCATAGAAATAAATTATATAACTTTATAATTTACTTTTAAATTCTTCCTATTAATACAAATAATTTACGAACGGCGACAATAATTTTTTTATTTTAATCTTTAACATGAAATGAATGTTTCGACAAGGTATTATTCATAATCACTTCTACTATGGAGCTTAGAATATATATATGTTAAAGAATGGAGTACTTAATATATTATTATAAATTATGATAAAACACTATAAATCAAATAAATAAATATAAAAATATAAATGAGATTTAAGAAAACAAAATTATTTTAGAACGGTAAGAATGAAATATATATAAATTACGAATAAATTTTGTTAAAAAATTTTTATTATATATATATAGTATGTATGTATGTATGTACGTACATATGTATATGCATACATATATGGGTATATATTATATATGCCCTGTTAATATATCGATTTATTCCTTAGAGCTAAAAAGAGATAAAAAATCACAAAATATTTAAATTCGACGAAAATTTTGCGTTTCTTAGAACCTGCAATTTTTTACAGCATAAGGTCGCTATTTCATTTGTTGTGTTTTTGTCGTATGATAAGTTTTTCAAGCCTGTTGATTGGCTATAGGATAGACAGATACGAAGAACTCTCTGTCTTGGAGACACATTTGTTGTACGACAAAAACGTACAAATGAAACAGCACTCTTATATAAGATATATTTTTAAAAAATTTACTGATAAAATTACATTGGAAAATGATAATTGAATTTGTTTAATAGATCCATTTAGAGTTCTTTATTTTTGTGCCATCATCTATGATGGTATTTATACTATTGAAAAAAAAAAAATTAAAAATTTGTATCATAATATGTTTTGCATGTCTTGCTGAATGTCAGACGGAATTGTGTAATAATAATTCGTTCGAAAATATCCTTGGCGCAATAATATGCTATTACATCTGAAGTGTAAAACCGGTTTGACTACTTTAAGACCATTCCATGGAATTTTTTTCATCTAAATATATCAGTTATCTGCCTACATCTAAGTCCAAAGTAGTAAATGATTCTGCGCGTAACAATGTACAACAATTTTAAAAGTACGTTTATTTTTATAACTCATTTGCAAAATAGTATTTAAAACAATTGTATAACTTGATTTTTCGTGCAGTTTTCAAATTTCAAGATGTCAAACGGAGTACTAGCAGGACAAAGAGTTCTTTAGTTGCTTGTATAGAATCTGAATTAGCAGCTATAGTCAAAGCTGGTACATGGAAAAATGAACGCATAATTGCTTCACCTCAACGAAAGGAAATCACACTATCAAATGGGAAGAAGGCGCTCAATTTTTGTGCCAATAATTATCTAGGTCTAGCGGTAAGACGGAATCAATGTTAACACTAGCAAACGCGCAATATGAAATTTTTTTAAATAATGGAATATAAATGTATTTTTATAAAAATTGAGTGACGCGAGATTTCATTAAATGTAGGATAACAAGGATGTTATCAACGCAGCAAAGATTGCACTGGATAAATATGGTGCTGGTTTAAGTTCCGTAAGATTTATATGCGGGACACAGGAGATACATATCGAATTAGAGAGGAAAATTGCCAAGTTTCATGGCAGGGAGGATACGATACTTTATGCGTCTTGCTTTGACGCGAATGCTGGTGTCTTTGAAACTTTATTCACTACCGATGACGCGGTAATAAGTGATGAGCTAAATCATGCGTCTATTATTGATGGGATACGATTGTGCAAAGCGAAAAGATACAGGTAAATCTTGTTCACTTAAGATTTGTCAGCCAAATTTTTCTGTTACTGTTGATTCGATCTGTTAAGTTATTCCCTTTTCATTCGCAATTTCAAGATATAAACACAGAGATATGACGGATTTGGAGAATAAACTTCAAGAAAATAAGTCAGCACGTTTGCGTCTTATTGCAACTGATGGAGTATTTTCCATGGATGGTACTGTTGCACCATTATCGAAAATAATCGAGCTTGCAAAAAAATATGACGCTATCACATTCGTAGATGATTGCCATGCCACTGGATTTTTTGGTAAAACTGGCAGGTATCTGCAAAATCTCAGATCTGCTTACGATCATTGATAATGTTCTCCGATTTAATTTCATTTAATTTCATTGCGATTCAGAGGTACAGAGGAATATTTTGATCACCTGGGGGACATTGACATCATTAACTCTACGTTAGGAAAGGCTCTTGGAGGAGCGGCAGGTGGTTATACGACTAGTAAAAAAGAGATTGTAAGTTTGTTAAGACAAAGAAGTAGACCATATCTTTTCTCGAATTCAATACCTCCATCTGTGGTTGCATCGGCAATTAAGGTAAAGTGTTGTGTATCATACTTATATATAGGGTAATTCCGGTATATACGCCGCGGAAGTCAGAAAAAATAGAAGGAATGGGGGTAATTTTCTCGCAACTACTCTGTTACATGTCTTTATGTTATATTAGTTTGAGTATTGAGTTATAATTTCAGCTTCTTACTGTTAATATTAATGAAATTATTGTCAGTTTAATCGATTTGTCACTGTGTGTGTAACAAGTAGCATCATCATAAATTATAATCTACATAAAATGATTACTGTAAG